CCCCAAAACCCCAAAACCCCAAAACCCCTTCTTACTAAAAGATTATAGAAACTATAAAATAACTGGATACAAATGGCTTCGTGATGAAGAAGTTTCAAGCATAAACGGAAAACAGCAAGAGCTCAAATCTTAATAGCCTCGCTTCCTATCTTAATCGCAGGACTTCTTACTCTTTATGCTATTTCCATGGTGTTTTCCTTCTGGATGTTTGTAGAAGAATTCAACAATACTATAGCTCATTTCTTAAAACTAAAAGAAGGTCAGCTTGCCCGTAAAGCTCATGCTTCTGCCATAAACAAGCAAAGAATTCTGCAAGAACCTTTAAATAATAATGAAGTTTTCAAAGCATTTTTGGAGGAGACAATGCAAGGGAGAATTCCTATATCAAGCCACTTTAATATCGAAACCATAAGCTTGCCATATACCGAGGTACCAACTGATTCTAGGGACTTAGATTATTCATATTGGTTCATCGATAACGTGACTACTTCATATGAAACATTATCTGAAGAAGAGAGGCAACGCATAAAATTTTTAACTCCATTGTTCCCTATATGGAAAAGTTTCCTTCGTGATGACCTCTTAAGTGAAGAGTCGTTCTTTAATACTATATATTATGCTACTGAAGAAAAGAGACTATTTTTTAGGTATCCTACTGTAGGATCTGGAACTTTTACAAATTGGTCAAGGACAGAGGACCCATGCGAATATTTCGAGTCTGGGAAAATGGACTTCTACGATGCTAGATGAAGGCATTGGTATAGACAAATGAAAGATAATCTTTATAATCCAACCATTTTCGGACCATATTTAGGGCCAACACCTTCGAATGCATTTTATGCATTAACATTAGCCCAAGGTATTGAAAATAATGGTTCATTGCACGGATCTTTTGGTCATGACATAAATTTAAATTTTGCAGAGAGATATGACTGGAATTTCGGTACCAAAGGGCCAAACACTCATTACTTTATGACTTATTTTGATGGGACAATACTTAAGCATTCAAATGTAACTTTAGACCAGGAAAGCCAGTCTTTAACTAAAGCTGAATTTTCAACATCAAATACATCCTTATCTGAAGAATTGTTTAATGGAGAAACTGAGGAGTTTAATAAAACATTTTTGCCAATCTTTAAGTCATCACACTCAACAGAAATTGTAAGGTACTCAAAATATGGGAAGAGGTACCTTGCTGTTGTGTATCCATTGAAGGTTAGCTTCAACTCCAGTAAAGAAAATCCTCAAAGAGTTTTCATTTACACTCAAGTTACAAGTGAAGAATATATCATTTCAATTATAAAAGATGAATCAACTCTGATAAGGTCCCTTATAATTTGGGGAATACTATTCACAGGCTTCTTTATCTTTATCTTAGTGATTTCAATTTGAATTCTTTCAAAAATTGCCTCGAGAGCATTGAGGCCTATCAAATTGTTAAATAACAAAGTAACCATCCTAAACAATACACCTGGGACAAAGACACTGGAAAATGCCAAATCGAAAATGACTTCTTATGAATCCATACTCCTTTTCCAAGTCTTCACTGATCTGATTCCTGCTGTAAAATTTGCCAACAACAATATTGACAATAGTAATGATGCTCTGTCTATTATGGAATATGCTGAAGCTTACACTGTTTTCCAAGGAAATAAGAAAGTTCAAGGAATTTGAATGACCAATATTGGCCACCATTACTTTAACCTCAAAGATTACCAGAAAGCGTCTAGGAGCTACGAAGAAGCAGCTCAATGAGCACATGACCTCATGATAATTGGCGACTCTGGATCGACCAACATTGAAGAAAATATAAAGCCTTTCTGAAAAAGAACTTATTATGCAAGCATAGCTAAATTCTTCTACCTCAAAAATTTCAAAGGAACCGCTACTGAAGAAGAGATTCTTACAGTGAGAGATGAGCTTAAATAAGGCCGAAGGGATCATTATTGAATATCTTACAGACTGTATCGATGATTTATTGATCATGCTAAACCTATACTCGAGCAAATGCCTTCTCATGACAAGAAGGCTGATCTCTGCAGAAAATGATCTGAAATCAGCAATGGAAATTTATAGATGGAGGAGACCTACAGATCAACAAGATCGTCCTGAGATCCCAGTAATTCCGAGATGAATTTTAAAGCAAAGACTTATACTCCAAAAAGCACTTGTAATGATTGATTTCAAAAAGATTAAACCTGCATGTCTCCTTATGACTAAGCTTCTTAAATCAGGAAAAGTCTACGATCCTACTACAAGGAAGGAAGCATTGAAAACTCTTCATTTTCTACTAACAGAACATCTTGGGAGAAAATGTTTCCAAGAATATCCAGAGACTCAGAACATTGGAAAAATGATACAGGCATTTCATACAAAAAGGAAGAAAAATATAGTTCTAATCGTAGACTCAAACAATGATGATTATTTCTTAACAAAGAAGAATCTTTGTTGAGAAATATTTGATTCTTTGGAATCTGAGGATAATATGGCGCTATTATCTCTTTCCAAAAACGTAAAGAGAATCTTTTCATTTGCCCCTAAGGAACAGAACACTATTCAGCTGAATAATCAACTAAAGGGATTAGGATCTTCAGATTTTAAGAAACTTCTTCTTTTCAGAGGAATTCAATATGGAGTTGAGGAAATTACAAAAAATAAAAATAGTAGCCAAATTCAAAACCAACAATGGATAATTTGAATTGTCAGCACAACAAAATTCAGCAGATCTTATACTTCTGAACAATGGGCGAAACTAGAGCAGAAGATGAAAGAGAAAAATATAAATATTCTATTAATATGAGTTGGGAATCCTTCTGATAAAGATTTCTCCAAGCTACAAAAGCATAGTAACTTCAATGACTCAACAGTCTTCCTTAACTTCACTCGTTTCTACAATAAAAGAGAGAGGATGAATGGAAGTACTATCGCTTTATTCGGTACTAAAATGGTCAGAATTGTGTCACCTACACCTGAAGTAGAGCGCCTTCGATCCCTAATGTCCAACATTAGCAATATCAGAGTTAGTGAGGATAAACTAATCTATGAGAAATTTTAGCGTATTTCATATTATTAAATTTTCAATAAGAAAAGATTATCGGGGGTTTTGGGGTTTTGGGGTTTTGGGGG